GTTTAGGGTGTAGGGTTTTAGGGCTCTAGGTATAAATGTGTTCGCAGCTACACCCACAATGCCCAGGAATGAGATTTCTGAAATTATTTGGGCATACAGCCTGGAAGTTTGCACTTCGTGGTGAAATGCGATTTCAATTACGACCCAAGATGCATGCTCCTTCCTCAATTAAAGTTTCTTTTTTTTGTTGGGCTCGTATAGGCCTTATGGTTTATGTCCGTATCCTGCAGTCATCTGCACAGTTGCAAGGCGCTCGAAGAGGTTCTCCTAGATCTCCGAAAAGAAAGATCCTTGGATCCTACATGATCAGTTTAGATCTAGAATTAAGCCCTATACCTAACCCCAAGGGTTATGAGCACATTTTTGCCCTTCTGCAGAACTCCCTGAGGATACAACCCAAGACATCTTCACTGCTTTGCGCAGGAGGATACGATCGGCATTTACAAACCCCTTTGCATTCGCTGCAACACCGGCCCTGGTTTCGAAAAACGTGTTCTGCAGAGAGGCATCCTCAGGAGAACGGTATTGGGTTACAAGTTGTGGTTATACGTTGTACCTAGGCCTAGTACCCAACCCACCCCCCCCCCCTTAATGTTAATGGCCTATGCAGCAGGATTGTGGCTTCGTGGCCGCAGGAGCTGCAGCAGCACATTGCCCGCTCGCGAGGGGGCGTGTAAAATACCTGTGGACCTGGGACCTGGAGGGTTGGCTTGAAGCTTAAGGCTTAGCTGTACGTTATTAGTGAGCCGTAAGCTCGTACCCAAACCCCGATGTAGGTGTAGCACTGGGCGACCATATCTCATGATTATAGCCCTATACGGCCCGCCCAGTACCAAAATCCAACATATCGAGTCACCTCTGAGCATCATCCACGTCTGCACATGAGCATATATGTAGAATTGAGGCCTCGAGCAGCAGAGTTCCACCAAAACTTCGACCATATGAACTTCACTCAACCAGCTTTCGGGTGCTAGGCCCACAATCTTAGTCGGAACGATAGCTTGATAGCTAGGCCCCACGTGTTGGAACCAAATCATTGGTTCCGGGATTTTTCTGGTGACCGGATTTTTTGGTAACTGACCTCAAGGCCCAACTTTTTAGGACACCAGCCCCCAGTAACCAACTATATAGGTAACCAGGAGCGCTTGGGCTGCACTGCAGGCGCTGCTTGCGCGAACCTTGATGATGTTGCTTCCGCAGCTTTGGCTTTCCTTCGCTTTCTTCGTGCTCGTTTGCCTCTCCCACAATCCTGCCCTTCCGGCCTGCAATGACTTCCCCGGTGGAGCAAGTGCGTCGGGCGCTGAACTCGGATGCTACGAAGGCTAATCTTTTTCGCTTGCTCGAGAACGCGACCTTCCATCTCGAGCCCGTCGCAGCGCTCTTCCCGGAGCTCGCCGAGCACTGGCAGAGCCTCGCAGACGCCATGCAAGTTCCCTGGCAGTTCGTCATGGTTCTCGATCTTACTCTGGCAGCGGCCTTGGCACCCACGGCGGTGCTTTTCCCTCTGCCGACGCTCCCCGTTCACCCGGTGCTCTGGTGGTTTCTTTTTCACCCGGGCGCCTACAACACCTCCGCCATCATTAAGCTCTACAGCGAGGTCCTGCAGCTCGTGGAAGAGGACATCAACACCGCGCGTGCGGAGCGTCATCGTGTGTGGGCTGAGCAGCCTGAAAGACATGGGACCAATCCCTATTCTGGGCGTGTCTCTTTGTCGGGCGGCAGTGGCAGCCTCGAAGGCGAGGGCAAGCAAATGGCTCTGCCGCGTAACTTGGGCCGCAGCATATCTTTTCTGACGGAAGGCAAGAGGTTGCTGCGGTGGCTCCAGGCTGAGGGGTCGGTGAACGAAACCATCGTCCTTGAACTGTTCGAGCGCATGCTGTGGAAACGCTCGACGGTGAACGCCGACAAAAGCTTCATTGTCAACCACCCGTACTTCCTGGCGGCGGGAGCCCTGCATGTGGAGGACGTCATTGAACTTTTCGTTGGCAACGATCCACTGGGTATCAGAGGACGGCTGGGCCTCTTCTACGCCCGCGCCACCTTCAAGCGTGCCAACGACGTTCGTACAGCTGCCGAGGCTCTCACAACGCGCAGGCCGGTCAAAAGGGCGCTCCTGTCTTGCTTCTTGTGCGTGCTCTTGCTCTGCTCGCTCAGGTGGGGCCTTCAAGACCTCCTGCGCCAACGCTTTACTTCTTGCTGGAGAGCTCACGATCCCATCCATGGGGCTTCCGCTGCGTTCTTCGACAACTTTCGCGGAGGGCAGTGGCGGGTGTACGAGCTGGACGAGGACGCGCGGCGCTCCTTCGACGAGCTTTACGACAAGCACACGGAAGGCCAGCGTCAGGCCCACCTCGTCGACTTGAACAACTCCCGCTGGCACTCCAAAGCCAAGACCAAACACCTTCGCCACGCCTTCGCCGTGCATCTCTGCGAGCAAACACGGCTCGGCGGTGAAGGAGAAGCCTGGAGCTGCCGCCTGTCCGTCAAAGCCTTGCAATTTGGAGCTCTACTCAGCGACTACATGGACTCCGTCGACAAAAAAATCGCGCAGTTCTTTACAGAGATTCTGGAATCGACTGCTGGGGGGGATGGTCACCCCACCGCTGGGGGCGCTGCTGCTTCCGGCAAAATGCGGGTTCGCGACGCCTTGAGCCAGATCCTTCGTGTCTCTGCCTCGCATTTCACAACGCAAACTCCTGCAATGCGCTGTGCCGTCCTCGCCATTCTCAAAAGGCTTCTCGCAATGCCTGGCCCTTGGCTGGAGTCGAGCGTTCTCCTCAAAGATAGAGACATCAAGGTCGCCTTTACCTCCCTGCCCGAGAGTCAGAAGGGCCTCCCTGCGCTCTGCCTGGCGATGCGAGCACTCGAGCTGTGCCGCTTCGGCGCCGCTGGACTCGGCACCACCACCCATGGCACGCCGATCGTTTGGCTTGTGAAGCGGCCGCTCGTCGCCACCGAGGCGTCCTATGCGAATTACGTCAACATGCTCACAGCCATCGACTTTCGCGTGGCCAGTTACCAGGCTCTGCCTCACGTGGCGGAGGGCGTCGACCAGCCGGCTACTTCCCCAGTCCTGACACTTCCCGCTGTGCCCACGGAAGCAGAGGCAATCGCTGGTGCCACTCTCCTACGCGGTTTGCAGGACAGCTGAGCTGAGGGGTGCTTTTCCGCTCGCCCAGCACGCTCCCGCGTGAATTTTGTCCGTGAGTGTCATGCGTGGCCGCGCCATGCGTGGCTGCGCTCTCTCTTTTGGCTATACTCGGCTGTCCCGGAGCGCCTAAAAGTGACTACGGTGGCTCTGGTGTCACTGCCCGAGCGCAGCAACTCGACCTCCACGCCTGCAGCCGTGCAAAAAAGCATTTGTCAGCTGCTGTGAACATCTTGGGCCTTCTGACTTCAGGCAGGTGCGTGTGGCGTGTGATGGCTTGAACCACGCATGCGTTGCATGCCGCCGGCTTTTCTTTATAGCGACGTGTTCGGCTGCTTTCGACCCAGCCCACGTCTCCGCGCTCCGTTCCGTCCGGATGGCTCTGACGCAGCTGGAAACCGGCGCCATGTCGCCTACCTGCCGTCGTGCGTGTTGGCTGGCAGGCCGCCGCCATCCACGGCCTGCCCTAAAAGCGGCGGGGAGGCGAGGGGGGTTGCATGCGTCACCATCCGTTTTCTTCGCAGGCATGGCCACCTGCCGCGCGGAACGACGTCTGCAATACGACCTGGAGTGCCAGTACTTCTACCTGCTGCGTGCGGAAGAACGCGCTTCGACGGCTGTCACCGTCCTCCGTGCCCTGATTCAGCTCCCTCTGCTGCGCGGCGGTCAACGTGGTCTGATCGCTGGGTTGGTCGTGACTTGCCCTTCGTTTGGGGGGCGGCAGGCCGTGCCAAACGCCTCCAACTTATGTCTGCTGTGTGCTGCTGCCAGGCTTCTTTCCTCACCCCCGTGCTCGTGGAGCCCACGGCGCTGCCTGTTCTGGAGCCCATCCGCTTCCCGACCTTCCAGGACGCTCGTGGTCTCCTGCCCCCGTCTGTGGTGCTGCCGTCCGTCCTCGTGGATTTGTGGGCCGAGGTGAGATTCGAATCCTATAGACCCTCTGGTAGGGCCTATATGCCCATGTTGACAGAGGGGCTGTGCTGTTGCTCCTATAGGCACTTTGCTCTGTGCTGCCTGCCATCGCTGACAGGTTGTGCTATTGTCACAAAAAACACAGAGGGCTGCAGGCTGGGCTCTAGTCCGGCAAACGACGGTTCTGGATGCTTGCAGCCTGTACAGCTATCTCCCAGTGCGATATAGTGTGACACCAACGAGCCCGTGCGGTCTCACCCACTTTTGAGTGTCTTGCACAAGTATTTGTGTCTTTGCCCCTTTGCATGGACCCGAGACGCGGCAGCTGCCGCCATGAGGCCGAATCCCACCAACAAAAATCTTCTCGTTTTTTGATGTACAGCCTGTACAGCATTTTCC